CGGGGCGCGGGGGCGCTAGGGCCCCGGAGGGGCGCCCCCCGTCTCGCCACCGCTGCTGCCGCCGGGCCGCCCTCCGCAGCCGCGCGCCCTGCCCGCTCCAGCCGCCCCCGGGGCCGCCGGCGGCCCATGAGCCCCGACCTCAAAGTTTGCGGCGGGCGGGCGGGCGCGGAGCCTCCAAGATGCCGTTCCACCCGGTGACGGCGGCGTTGATGTACCGGGGCATCTACACCGTGCCCAACCTGCTGTCGGAGCAGCGCCCCGTGGACATCCCTGAGGACGAACTGGAGGGTGAGTGCCCCGCCGGGACCCCTGCCGCCGGCCCTCCTACCTGTGCGCCCAGGTGAAGCGCGGACTAGGGGCGCAGGGGGCGGGGGGGGGCCGTCCGCAGGTGCCGGCTGCCAGGTGGGCGCTCCAGAAAGCAGCTACGCGGGGAGTCAGGACCAACTCGCACCTCTGGGTGCCGCGGTGGGGGTAGCCAAGGCGGAGGGGCGGCCCAGCCCCTGCCCGCATGGTCCCCCGCGCTGCGGAAACTTGCCGAGCCCCGCAGCGGGGTCACGGGGCCGCACAGTCAGCGGTGACGGTGCGGCAACGCGGCGGTCTGGGTGGGGGTCCGAGCTGCGCCCCCAGCGCGGGCCCGGCCGGAGCACCCGCATCCTGATCCCCTCCGCGGCGCCCGCCCGCGGCTCTGCGCTCGAATTGACATTCCGCTCGTGTTGCTTTTTTAAAATCCAATCTGCTCGGGCAGCCGGAGAAGGGGAGAGGGCGACTGCCCTGCTCTTTCCGCCTGTGGGGCTGTCCCCAGTCCCTCCTGCGGCCTTAGTCCCTTCCCCACAGCCCTGCGGGGACCCCCAGCTCAGAGTGCTGGGAGGGCCGCCCAGGAGGTAGTGGCGACAACAAGTGGCCAGATTGGGCGGTTTGGTCGCGATAACCAAGCCTGGAAGGGAAAGGCAGAGGCTGGGACCCAAATCTGTATTCCCTGGAGTCCCTCTGCCTCTCAGCATGAATGGGGACCTTAGGCAAGGGGCTAGACGAGATCAGAGCAGAGGTCAGGGTCTGGGGTCCCTGGACCGAAGATTCTGCGGAGCAGTGAGACCCCTGGGGCCTACAAGCTCTTTTCCTCCTGGGCTGGGGTCAGGTTCTCGGGCCTTCCATCCCCCAGACCTCCTAGGGCCCCCCTTCCATCCCCCAGACCTCCTAGGGCCCCATTTGGAGTGGAGTGGGGGTTCTGGGCTGATAGGAGTCTTGGACCCCTGGGATCTACTTATCTGCTGTTGGGTGAGCAGCTGGGATTGCCCAGAGGCTGGGCCTCTCTTCAGTCATCTTGGGTCCGAGGGTCTCTGAGATCTGGGGCTCATCAGGGCTTAGGGGGGTGCAGCTGAGACACCAGTGCAGTCAGAGTTGATGATGATGGGAGTACAGGGGAAGGCATGGTGAGAGGTCTTCCCTCATCCCCAAGCCCTGGAGAGGGTAGATCTTGGTGAAGTCAGACTGGGTGAGGGGAAGATCAAGAGGGAGAAAGTAGCTACCCACCCCTCAACACACACCCTGCACCATAGACTATGAACCACCTGCTCCTCTCAAGTCCCCTGAAAGCCCCCAGAGGCTGGCAGAACCAAGAAGACAGGGTCTGGTGTCTGATGCAGGCAGAACAGAGGGATGAGTGCTGCTACTGGATCTCTGGCCTTGAACCTCAAGGCCCAAGTGTCTGCCCTGTCTGTCCAGGGCCTGGGAAAAGGAGGAGGTACACGAAGACCAAGAGGGCAGGGGATGGGGCATGGGCCATCTCTTCCGCACCATTTTCTCCTCCTGCCTTGGGTCACCCTGAACTTCCTGCCAGTGTCTCCCTCCATGGGCCCTCCTCTATCCCTTCCTTCTGGCCACTTGGGCAGGGGACAGCCTTGTCCCCCCAAAACCCATGCAGCTTCCACCTCATTCCCTACCCTTGCTTCCAGCACCCCACCATGACGCTGGCAGCCCTGCTATGGGCCTGGCTGGGTCTCTCCTCTCTTGAAAACCCAGCCCTGGGGTGCAGACCCTGAGAAGCTGAGAAGAGGCTGGGATGCAGGGGTGAGTGGGCACAAGAAGGGCAGTGCAGGGGTGAGGAGGCCGCAGGCTCCCCTCGGGCCGCCTGGTGGACACACTGGCAGGAACCCAGCAGCGTTAGTCACCAGCCACACCAAACGCATTCCCTGCTTCTCTCCTGTCCCCTTCTCCTGGGCCCTGAGGAGAAGAGGGACCCTGGCACAGGGGGCATCTGAAGGGTAGAGCCCTCCTTGGGGTGACCAGGTGGGGGTCGTGGAGCAAGCAGTTGCCTGGGTGACCCCAGCCTATCTCCCAGCCTGTGGGCAGCTGTAGATGAGGGCAAGAATTCCTCCACAGCTGACCCCCTTCTTGCCTGTAGGCACTCTAAAGCCTTCCTGGGGGACCAAGTCTCTGCAGGCCCTGGTGGTCCTTGAATGCCAGGGCTGGATGGAAAAGGTGATGCCCCCCTGCCCAGTGCTCTGCATTCATGCTCCTGCCCGAGGGCAGTCTGGGTAAGATCCAGGCCCTTTGCCGAGAGGACACCCACTGGTGGGGGATCCACGGGTGCAGAGAAGAGGAAGCCCGGCAGCTTGGGATGAGATGCTGCAGACATTATGTGCCTGCCACAGAAATGGGTTAGGTTAATCTAGGGTCAGGGTAATCTGAGGGGGAAAGGGACCAGTAAGGGAGGTGGAGAGCACAGGATGTTGATGAGGGCTTCCCAGCCAGGCAGCACTGGGTTCCAATCTCTACATCCTCCGCTCACAGAGTGACCTTGGACAATCACTTGCCTTTCTTGCCTCGGGTGTCTCCATCTGTAGAAGGGGCTTGGCATTGCCCCTCCTCAGGGCTGCTGGTGACAGAGGACACAATGGAGGCGCTCATCGAGGGGACTGGCACGCAGAGGGAGCTTGCGGACCCAGATGCTGCAGCAGGGGAGGCTCAGGAGGGGGGTTCTTGCAGGAGTCAGAGCCTGGAGTGTGGAGAGATTGGTGAAGCTCTTGAGTTAGGGACCCAGGATGTGCAGGGGGGCGGGCCAGGAGGGCAGCCTCCGCGAAAGGCTGGGTAGAAGAGTCCTTGAAGGTCTGGCAAAGGCACCTGGGGACCTGTGGCCCTGGGGAGCCGTGGGTGGCAGTTGGCAGGGTAGATGTGGCCAGGCAAAGCTGGCCTGGAGCCTGTCTGACTCTGGAGGAGAGGCACAGACAGGCTTTCCAGCTTCTCCCCGTATCCCGCTCTCCCTAACCCCTGCCACGACACACACACCCAGCAAAGCCCCCCAGGGTCTGCAGGAGCACAAAGTCTGGTCCCAAGGTCATCAACAGGCTTGAGCACCTGAGGGTAGGAGTGCGGTGGCTGCAAGCCCTAGCCCAGCCCTTTTTGGCCAGAGAGAAGAGGAAGGAGACAGACAGACGGACCGGCAGACAGCCACCAGGGCAGGGTTCTGGGGTTGGCACTTGGCCTGCTCAGTCAGACAGTGGAGCCCGCACTGAGAGTGACCAAATAGGGCATTCAGAGTATGGGGGGTTGGAGAGTCCCCTATCCTGCCGCTTTTCCTGCAAGCCCAGCAGCCGCCTCTGCGCAGACCAGAAACTCAGGGCCGCCAAATTGGTGGGGCGTGGGGCCAATGCCGCGGAGAATGGCAACTGCTGCAGAGGACAGACGCTGCCCCCTCCTTCACAAGTGACCTCCAGCATGTGCACCCCGTCTCTGGACTCCAGCTTCCTGATGGAGTGTTGGGCTGCCTCAGGGTCTGTCACCTGCCCACATAATCCAAGATTCACCTGCCCTCCACTGTCTCCCGTCCAGCCTGGTGCGTCCAGCTCAAGGCTTCCAGAAGAGGATGAGGGGCTCCAACTGAAGCAGCCATGGGCTCTGGGGGCCACACCCTGCCCCTGCCAGGGTGGGAGGGACATCCTGGACCCCAGCTCCTTGCAGGGGAAGGGGCCGGCATCCACTGCAGTCCCATTGTGGGTCGAGGGTTTTGCCAACCCAACTTGAGATTTCCCAGTGGGCCTCTACAGAGGAGGAAACTGAGGGACCCAGAAAGATGGGGTGTTGACCCTGGGTTACCCCTTCCAAAACCAGCCCCTCACCCAGAGATCTGGGAATGGTACCCTCAACCCTGCCCTCAGCTTGATTCCCCTCTTCTGTGGGTGGCCCATAGGGTGGGTTAGGGTGGGGTCCTTGGGGGGTTGGAGAGGGGGACAAGCAGCATCCTCAACCTCCCCTCATGCTTCTCGCCTACTTGGGGAGTGGAAAGCAAACGCTTTCTCTTACTAGGATTGTTTGTAAACTAGAAGTAAATAGACTCGGAATGGTGGCCTCACACCAAGTGGTGCATGAACTTCTGCTCAGCTCTTTCCTCTGTGTGCTCCAGAAGGGTAGGCTCCCCAAATCAGTCATTCATTCATTTAATTACTAGTTCGGCAGATGTTTATGCTTGACAGACAGCACTGTTCCAGGTCACGGGGCCCCAGTAGTGGCCCCTGGACTCATGGCACTCATAGTTCATTCACACTCCAGTGTGGTCAGTGCAAGGGCAGAGCAGGGTGTGTGGGGGCCCAGAAGAAGACCAGAGTCAGCTGGGGGGCAGGGAGGACTCCAAGGAGGTGATACTCTCTATGCTGAGAACCTGGGAGGCATCAGAGTTTGCCATGGTGAGTGGAAGAACTTCCAGGCGAAAGGAGCCCTGTGTTCAAAGGCCTGGACGTGGAGCACTCCTGGTGCTCACCAGGGCTAAAAGGGCCCCTCGGGCTGGAGTTCAGGACACCTGAGGTGGGCAGAGCCTGGGGCTGGGTCAGGAGGGCAACAGTGCTGGCCAGAAACCTAAGTGTGTGTGGTGGCGAGAGTGGCAGACGGCGTGCCTGGTTGCATGGTTGGTGCCTTAATCTCTACCTAGAGACTCCAAAGCCATAGGACCCCGTTAGCCGCCTCCATGACTGCCGGGCCCCCACTCATATACCTCTGGTGGTGGGGAGCTTACCACCTCGTCAGTGGTCCGGGAGAATGCTAGGTGGGAGTTGGCCTGGAGTTCCAAGTCTAAGGTTTATAGAAACCCCTGGGCCTGGTCCAGATCTCCCATTCCAGCTGCTTTCTGGCCTCGGGGACCCTGGTTAGACCAGATTTTCAGGCCCAACCTAGGATGGGTAGAGAAGGTCCAGAGTCAGAGGGTCTGGGGGCCCAAGCCACTCGGCTGCAGCCCACTGTCTCTGTTTTGACCTATGTGCCATCTGGTCTAACCTCCGGGCCTTGGGTGCAGACACCAGCTAGGAAGAGCCTGATGAAATTTGGGCCCTTGACCCAAGCTACCTTGCCATGGCCCCTAGTCTGTGATGGGGCCAGTGGGATCAGGGAATAACCCCGTGGCACAGGATTCCACAGTTTTAGGGGTTCACATCCCCTTAAGGCCAGGCCTGGGCCAGCCAGATTCCTGCTTTCACCAGAAATAGCCTTGACCCCAAACTGACCCTGGGCTGGCTGTTTTGCCTCTCCATGCCTCAGTTTCCAGGCATGCAGTCTGGAGCATTTTCATCTGTCTCGGCTTCCAAATACACCCACACTCACACTCAGGGGGAGGATTCTGCCTGCTGAAGTCCCAGCCAGGGGGACAGCTTAGGCAAACACCAAGAGGCTGGCAGGTGAATAAGGATGCTGGAGCAGAGAGGGTGTGAGTGGAGTGAGGTTCCTGTCTCGGCCAAAGGAAAATGCTCTTCAGGGCTCTTCCTGGGCTGAGTGAGCATAAAGGGACAACAGGTAGAGCGAAGTTGAGTGGGGAGAGGTTAGGACCTCTCAACAGCTCCTGGACATGTTTGGTAAAACCCTTGTCGTACCCGCATCACTACTGGGCATTCTTCTGTGGGTGGGACTGAGTCTGGCCCGAGGTCACTTGCTGCTCCCAGCCCAGTGCCTTGCTCTCCACCCCTGTCACCCAGGTCCTCAGGCCTCCGTCTCCCCTTCTGTAAAATGCAGGGGACAATCTCCACATCTGAGCAGACCTGGGCTTGCTGGGGCCCCTCCCAGCCTCCGCCTTCCCCCAAACTTGGACTGGGGAGGCAGTCTCTGCACGGAGCTGTGGGCCCGTTAGCCCTGAGCCGGAGCTGGCGGCTGCCTCATGGGGTCCCGTTAAGGATTGCTGGCTGGAGTTTCCAAGCCGAGCCCAGGCGAGGAAGCATGTGATGGGGATGGCGGGGGGGAGGGGATGGCAGGAGTGAGGGGTGGACAGGGAAGCCTTCGGCAGCTCAGAGGCCACCGCTGCCAGGCCCCGGGAGCCGACACAGTGGGACTCACGCTTACCCACCACACGGGGTCGTCGTGAGCACGTCCTGAGAGGCTGTGGGAGCCTGGCTCAGAGGAGACCCCCGAGGGTGATCTGGGCCATGCTTCGGGCGTGGGTGTACCTTTGCTGCCTGGCTTGGCTGGCCCTGAGCTCCCGGAAGGCAGCGCTAGGGTGGACACTCGGGCCACCTGCCACGTGTCTGACCAGACCTGCAGGCTCCATAGTGGATTCTCAATGCCGGGCTCAAGCTGCAGGTTTGGGGATCCTGGGAGCCTAGGGAGGGGGGTGCTGGGGACAGAGGCGAGGTCCCAACCTGCTCTGCTCCCCCCCCCACAGAGATCCGTGAGGCCTTCAAAGTCTTTGACCGCGATGGCAATGGCTTCATTTCCAAGCAGGAGCTGGGTGCGGCCATGCGCTCCCTGGGCTACATGCCCAATGAGGTGGAGCTAGAAGTTATCATCCAGCGGCTGGACATGGATGGTGAGCACCAACCCCTGCCCCAGTTTCCTCACCCCTCACCTGGGCCTCTGAGGTTGAGCCCACCCTCCAGGCACCCCCAAGCCCATGGCAGTAGGCAGTCGGGTCTGGCCCCATTTCTCAGCCTGGATAATAGAGGCTAGAGTGTGACGTTCCCAGCCACACCCACACATGGAGGTTAGAGGCTCTGCCTCTCTCGCTCTGCATCATTCTGAGCAATATTTTTTTAAAGATTTTATTTTTAAGTCATCTCTTCCCCCAACGTGGAGCTCAAACTTACAACCTCGAGATTAGGAGTTGCATGTTCTACCGACTGAGCCAGCCAGGCACCTCCTGAGCAATTTTTAAAGCACAGAAAAGTAGGAAGGATGTACTAAATACCCCAGGTCCCCTCACCCCCAAATAAAAAATCATTTAGTCGTATTTGCCACCTGGTAATTTATTAAGGAAAACTTAGTAAAAAAGACCAGTAACGTCCAGTCAGTCCCCTCTTCCCATCGCCCCACCCCCCACCCCGGGGCCTCCAACCCTGCCTCCTTCTCACCCAGAGAGCAGGTAGCCGTCTGGGCAGATTGTGCCCTGAACTTCATTTCCTGTGTGGTGAGGATGTCGGGCCCCACACCTGCTGGGAAGCCACGTTTCTTGGTAAAATGTGAGGCTCTCCCACGTGCTCGGGCTCACCTGCTGCACGCCATCTCCACTTTGCCAGGTGGGGCCTCATTATATTTGGTGGTTTTAGTCCCTGAACCTAACTCAAGGCTCGGAGAAGGTGGGACCTGCCCAAGGTACCACAGTGGCCCAAGGTGGCCCGGGACCCAGCCCAGTTGTAGGCTGGCCCACTGATTGGGACCTGTGCCTACCCTAGGCGATGGCCAAGTGGACTTTGAGGAGTTTGTGACCCTCCTGGGACCCAAGCTTTCCACCTCGGGGATCCCAGAGAAGTTCCACGGCACTGACTTTGACACTGTCTTCTGGAAGGTATGTACTGGCAGGTTGGGACTTAGGGTTGTGTCCCCCGTGGAGGGCTGCGTGGGGCCTGTGAATGGCCAGGGCCACACTGTAAAGGGGGATGACTATCCCAGGTGTCTGTCCCCTGGATGTCTTATCTCCCAGAGGGCCAGGGGTCCCCTGGGGGAGGCTGGTATGGTCAAGGACTCAAGGAATGGAGCCAGTGGTTTCCAGTCCTCCAGAATCTGGAGGCATGTCCCTGGGCACATGTGGCTGCGGGGTGCTGGGTGATAGCCGTGGGGGTGGCAGTGGCCAGAGCACTGTGTCTCCTCCCCTCCCCAAGTGTGACATGCAGAAGCTGACTGTGGACGAGCTGAAGCGGCTGCTGTACGACACCTTCTGTGAGCACCTGTCCATGAAGGACATCGAGAACATCATCATGACGGAGGAGGAAAGCCACCTGGGCACCGCCGAGGAGTGCCCCGTGGATGTGGAGAGTGAGTGACCGGCCCCCGCTCCCCCCATGGGCAGGCTGACGGCTGGGGCAGGGGGAGGAGGAACCAGGGTCTGCAGGGGACGGCTGGGGGCCTCCTTGCCCGCCCCACGCCTTGTGTCCCCGCGTGTCCCGTGGGACGAGCCCACGTGCGGAAGTGCAGGCGGCTCTTGATTCCATGCTTCGCTGTCCCCGTCTGTCTCTCTCTGGTGCTCCCTGGCGGGCGGCCACAGCCTGCTCCAACCAGCAGATCCGCCAGACGTGCGTGCGCAAGAGCCTGATCTGCGCCTTCGCCATCGCCTTCATCATCAGCGTCATGCTCATCGCAGCCAACCAGGTGCTGCGCAGCGGCATGAAGTAGGCACACACGGTGCGTGGGGCCCTCTCCACGCCCCCCACCGCCCGCAGTCCTCTCCCGCACTCGGCTCCCGGGGCCACTGCCGCATGTCCTTCAATGCCGGGACGTCTGGCAACCCCACCCTACCTGCCCCTGCAGGCCCTTGCATGGAGCCGAGGTCCGGCTGCGGAGGGCCTGGCGGGGGCTCTGAGGACAGCCCCCGGCCCCGCCTGCATCCTGCCCACCCTGGCCTGTATGTAGCACTAACTCTTCCCTCCCACTGTCCAGAGGCTCCTGGGAAATTTAGGAGGCGTTTGTACAGGGTCCAGTAGCGGATGTGGTCACTTAGGCGGGAAGGAGGCACCCTGTGCCCAGGGCCACACAGCCAACCTGACCCTGGTCCCTGAGATTTGCCCAGGGCTGTGTGCAGGGTGGAGATGGGGGCAGGAGGCTTCCTCCTGGAGAGGGGCTGAGGCTGGGGTCTCCTGGGCGCTATTCGCTGGCCAAGCCTGAGGAGGCCCCTGGCCCTCTGTGGGGTCCCTTTCTCTGACCCTCCTTAGACTCAAGCCCAGCCTTCCTCCATGCACCCACTGGGGCCGGAGAATTTGCCCATTTCACAGTTGAGGAGCCTGAGGCTCAGAGGGCCTCCGGATTCAGTACCCCCTTCAACAGGGATTTTTAGGAAGGGCAAAAGCTCACAGCAGATGGGGCATCTGAGGTGGCCCTGCAGTCTCTGTGCCCTTTGAGCCCCCCGGTCGAGGACCGCACTGGCCACCACCCAGCACAGAATCTAGAACTGGAGTGCAGTGAGGAGGGAAGCAGACCAGGGGCCTGGAGCCTCCACATTGCTTGAGCAGCCTGTGTGATCTCCCCATCAGTCCGGGGGGCTCCTCCTGGGCACAAGCCTTGGGAGGGGCCCTGTGTCATGCTGGGCCAAGGGGCTGGTGTAGCCCCGCACTGCCGGTGCCAGGAAGCTCAGCCAGGCCGCTCCCCCAAGTCCAGGGCCTGTCTTCCCGGGGCCCCCAACTTCTCTATACTGTCCAGGCCAGAGACACAGCTCCCACCGTGCCCCGGTTGTGCCATCTCTCGTTCGGGCACCAGCTCGGCATGGGCAGATGCGGGGACTGGGACAGCAGACTGAGTCCTCGAGCTCCTCTCCCAGGTCTGGAGGCCCCCTTTCACCGGGGTGACCATCCCAGCCACACTGGCGCACCCTCTGCCCAGCCGTGCCGAGCCTCTGCCGGCCGTCCCGGGAGAAGGGCAACAGCACCCCTCACCCAGCAGAGGGCCTCATCTCAACGCCAGTCCCGCCCGTCCTCTGACCAGGGGCGGAGGCGCGAAGCTGAGGGCGCCGGGCGAGCAGGAAGCCAGACCACCACGGTGACAGACTTTCTTTATAAACATCCAGAAGGAAGTCTTCTCACCCGTCTTCTCAGGATGTCCCATGAGAGCGGGAGGGAGTAGCTGCCTGGAGTAGAGCTCAGATCGGGGCTGTACCTGGTAGGGCGACTCGGGGGCCTCCGTCCAGCCAGGCTGAGCCGATGGCTTCAGAGGCTCTACGGGAGGCAGCAGGCAGGGGCCTCGGCATCCCCAGTAGGAGCCCTTATCTTTATTGTGACTGACACGAAGGCTGCCCAGATGGGGGTCAGGTGGGGATGAGGGGCTCAGCCCCACTGGACACTGGGCTGCAGGGGCCACCCCCCGGGTGGGGGTGCCCGCAGGGATGGAGGCAGCTCCTGGACTGGTGGCCAGCCTATGGGGTACTGGAAGATGGTGGTTCTCATGGGCTCAGCCCTAGAGAGAAGGAGAAAGAGAATTAGAATGGGGCCCAGCACAGGCCCAGGCTGGGGCACCTCCCCCCCAGCTCCCCCTCTCCCCACCACCCCAGCTACAGGAAAGGTCAGCTGCTCGCATGACCTTTCTGGAAGGTAGAGCCTCAAAAACATGCAGACCCTTTGAGCCAGCAACCTCACCTCTAGGAAGGAGCCCAAGTGAAATAGCAGGGTTGTGGGCAGAGACTGAGCTACAAGAAGCAGAAATAACCCGTGTCCACCTGTGGGGGGCTGATTAAATACATATGCACGTCCACAGCGGAGAATGCTATGCAGCCTGCATAAAAGTGAAGGCAGACTTGTATGCACTGATAAGGAAAGGTGTCATGATGTACTGTGTAAGTAGAGAGAAAAAGCAGCTTATAAAATAATGTATATAGCATGATACTATTTTTGTTTAAAGATATATAACATATATAAATGCATAAAAAAAAACCCTGGAAGACACAGCAAAATGTTAACAGTGGTTCTATCTGCGTGGTGTAGTTATGGGTGATTTTTTTACTTCTTTATACTTTTCAAGAAAAGTTTTACAGGCATGCAAGCCTTGGAAATCAGAAAAAAATATTGTCTAAAATTTTTTTAAAAGCCTCATTTCTCATGCTACTCACTCTCCTTCCCCTGGAGGTCCAACCCCCCTGGAGCTGCCACCTGGGAACCCAGGGCCTATTTGGAGCATCCACCCTGGGTGCCCAGCCAGGGGGCACCCTGTCCTCAGGAAGCCAACTGAGGTGCAGAGGCAGTACTCCCCGCCCCCCTGCCCCCCAGCTGCTCCATATTCCAATGCTTCTGGACTTAATCCCCACTCAGTCCGCTGCTGCAGGGCTGCGTTGCCCCTCACAGGCTATGGAGCACTTTGAACTCACCCGAGAGCTCGCGTCTCCCCTATGGGACTGGAGCTCTCACATGGAAGAGACCAGGGGGTAGGGGTGATACCCATCTGTCCCCCAGGAGCCAGAGCCAGGCCTGGCGCAGGGAGGCCACTCAGTGAATGTCTGCTGGTGACAAGTAACAACACTGAGTACTCTTACTGACTAGGCACTGCTCTGGGCCAGGCATCAAGGTCTAGAGAAACCTCAAGCATCTTCATGTGAACCCCATTTTATAGATGAGGCAACTGAGGTGCACAGAGTCAGTCATATGCCCAAGTGACAGAGTCTGGGACTAGGGATTAGGGGCTAACAGGCAATGTATATGTGGGCTCCAGACATTGCCCCCCAATCCACAGGCCTAGCTTTTAGTGGAGGTGATACCCTGGCAGCTCCAGGCAGGCTGGGATCCAGTGGCCAGCCCTCTGCCGAGAGGTAAAGTCCTGGGCCCTCTGAAAGGTTTGGAGAGGCCTCAGGCCTCCGAGGTGGAGGTGGTGGCTGAGGTCAGGAGCCCTGGGAGTTTGCCTCGCTGCCGCCCCCCAGCCTGTTCCTCCTGGGGCCTGACCTGCTGGGGACAGCCCACTCGAGGGCTTCAGGCGGCCTCCTGTTACAAGAGGCCAGGGCAACGCCCTGCCTAGCTGCTTGCCATCTGCTGGAGAGTGCACAAAGTAAGCTCCCAACGTGATCTATGGCACTGGGGAGACTTCATCAACTCCACCAGCCGCAGAGAAGGATGGGAGTCGGGGAGGCTCCACAGTTGCTGGAAGGGAGAGCCCCAGATGCCAGCCAGCCCCGGGCTTCCCGCAGGGTTAAGGTGACCGCAATTCTCTGCAGAGAGAGGGTGTGATCCTGGTGAGACCCTTCCCGTGAGCCTCAGACCCTTCTCTAGAAGATGGAGCAGATTCCTCAGCAGCTGAGGCCTCCCCCCAGGATAAGGGTACCCCCTCCATGGGCTCAGACACGGACACATTCCCCGGGTCCCTGAGCTCATGAAGCACATCCCTCCCGCCTGCGCAGAGCACACGGGGACACTGAGGTGCACAAGACCGCTCCATGGCCTCCCCTGTGGCCTGTTGCCCACCCCCCCCCGCCCCCGGTGCAAGGACAGGAGCTGCTCTCTTTTGCATTTCCCCAGCCGTGGTTCTGATCCGAAGAAAAGAGTCCTAGGGAAGCGCCTGGGCTGGAACAGTAGCGCCAGTCCAGAGAGGGGTGCAAAAGGGGAGATTAAGAGGGATAAAGTCACAATCTGAAGAGCCAACAATGGAAAACAGGGACAAGCACTGGCCTTGCTGGGGGATTAGTCTGTGTGTCTGAGCTCTTGCCCCTGTCTGCTCTGGGCAGATCCCTCAGGGTCAGTCGGCCGAGAAGGTTGGCACAATGTGCCAGGCTGGGGCCTCACAGGGCCTCCATTTCCCTCCTCTATAAGGAGGGTTGGCCTGGTTCACCTCGAAGGCATGGCTCAGCCCTTGGGGTTGGAGCCCTCAGGTCTGGGTGGCCCCAGGTGGACTGGGCAGCCATCTGCCCCCTGTACCTCAGGGGAGGAAACAGACACCCAGAGAAGAGCAGCCACCACACTGGTCCCCCACAATGGGTCCACAGCACCAACACCTAGGGAACAGTCTTCCAGGCCAGGGACCCTGCTCCCCCAAGTGCTCCCATGCAGTCAACATGGCCCGAGCCCGCGCCAAGCCCGAGTGACAACAATGTGAGCTCAGCGCCGTAAGGAGGGGCGTTGGAGCTAAAGCTTGAAGAATGAGTCGGCCTTTGCTGGGCAGAGGTGGGGAGGCGGTTCCAGGCAGACAAAGTAGTGTATACGTGGTGCACAGAAATCAGAAATGGCACCACATCCAAGAAGCTGCCAGAGTCCAGTGGGACTGACAGAGGCCAGATGGGCGAGGTGAGAAGGGGACCGCACGGGCTGGGGAGGTGGCAGGGCAGTTCCCTGGGGTCTGTCAAGCTGGGTCGCAGGGCCCAGAGTCCCTGGGGTAGAGGAAGCCCAGAAGGGTTGATGCAGGGGTCGGGGCCGGGCCAAGGCCAGGGAGTATTTTAGAAGCTGGCTGGGGCTGTTCTGTGGGGGATGGCCAGGAGGAGCAGAGGGGAAGTGGGAGGCCAGGAGGGGCTGCTGTGGCCGTGGGGGAAAACCGGGTGGGTAAAGGGCACAGAGGGAACGGTCTCTGCAGGGCTGCCTCCAGGGTAAGAGACTCAGGGAATAGGACAAAGCAGCCCGGGGGCTTGAATGCACCTCCCCTGACCCCGCAGGGGTGCGGCCACAGGTGGAGGGGCAGAGCCCATCACCCGTGGGCTGCAGGATAAAGGGGTTATTTTTCATGAGACCGGCCTATAGGAGAGGGCTGAGGAAGACCGAAGCAGTGATGGTGAAAGTAATAATAAATGGTCACCTGCCTTCCAACAGCCTTTTTCTCAAGGCCGGACAGGCCTGCTCTGCCCCAAGAGCAATCCGTTCTGGCTCTGAGCCCTCAGGAGGCGGGTGGAAAGGTACAGTACACAGGTGCAGGGGACAAGTGGTCATCCAGAAGGGGTCAGCCTGGGTGACCAGGAGGTGAGGAGCACAAGGGTAGGGTTGAGACTCCCCAGAGCCTCGGGTGGTCCCCAGGTGCAGGCTGTAGCCCCGGAACAGCTACTCCATCCCAGCAGCTTGCTGCTGCCTCGACCACTCCAGACCTTCAGGTGGATGGGGCCCTTGGAGACAGAGTGGCCTAGGGTCTAGACCAAGCAGGGGTGTAAGCTCTCTCTCAAGCGACAGCTCAGGGTTGCTGAAGATAGCAGGTGTGTGACCAGGACAGTCACAATCTCCTGGAGGGGTTGAGATTCCTCAGCCACAAACCAGGGGCACCAATCCCCTTAAATGCCCAGGGCCAAGGGCCAGGCGCACCACAGCACCAAACACACCCGATTACCAGGGGCTCACCACCGTCTACCTGAGATCTGGGCCTGTCATCCAGCCTCAGTTTCTCCACCTCATCCCCCAGTCCTCTGAGTCTCATGGTCACAAGCGTCCTGCACTGGATGGCACTGGGACACATCTGTCCCTAGGTGGGAACTTCTGGTCACCCATCTCTACCCACTCCTGCACTCAAGCCAGTCCAGGCACTGGGTCTCCCCGAGCCCTTGTGAAAAGCTCAGGAGGTGCCCAGGCTTTTGGTGCTCAGTCCCAACAGAGGAACCACCAAGTCAGAGCAGGGAGGCGAGCGGGGAGCACAGCCAAGACGCATGGGTGCCAGGTCCAAGCAGTGGGAGAGTGGGGAAGACCCTAGAGCTCTCTGGGCGCTTCCAACCAGCCCCAGCCCTCTGACACACCAGCTGATGGGGTCTGGGACATGGATCCTGGGACAAGTCCCAAAGGGGCACTCCCCTGACCAAAATCACAACCAGCTCAGACAGGACCAGGAGGGACGGACATCACACTCCAACATCTATGTCTGTACTGTATTGTTTTAAGGTGAGGGGACAAAAACAACACAGATTTTTTAAAAAAGCTAAAAAACAACTAAAAGTTGAGGTGCCTGGGTAGCTCAGTCGGTTAAGTGTCTGTCTCTTGATTTTGGCTCAGGTCGTGATCTCAGGGTCGTGAGATCGAGCCCCACATCGGGCTCCATGGTGGGCGCGGACCCTGCTTAAGATTCTCTCTCCCTCTCCCTCTGTCCCACCCCACCACACTCGCAACTCATGCTCTCTCTCCCTCTCTCTCTCTCTCCCCCTCTCAAACAAAACAAAACAAACCCAACAACAACTAAAAGTTAATTTTAAAATAGTTTAACAAAAAGCTCTCTTCATGGGGGCATGGAGAAGGCAAGAAGTTTAGCTCCCACCTCCTGGCAGAGCTCAGAGGCAAGGCCTCACCCCCAACTGTCCAACCAGGCTCCCTCGGGCCAGGCCAGCCTGTTGTCACATGAGACCGCACCACAGAGATAATCGGGTCTGAAGCCCCATTGCAAGACAGGCAAAGTGAGGCAGCCCAGTGCAGGCAGCTTTACAAAGTCACAGGATGCTCATAAGCACATCCGGTAGCCCCTTTCCTTGCCTCTCCCTCCTTCAACACCTGGCGGAAGAGCACAGGAGCCCTGGGACAGCACGCAGTACACACCTGAGGGCCCCTGACCCAGGGTGCTCCACCCACTTCTGAGCATATTGAGCGCCAGGCCCCGGCAGCAGCTGGGCCGACCTGCTGCGGAGTGAGCTTGTCACATCTCTGAGCAATCCCAGCTCTGCCTCTTAGCCGTGTGCCCTTGGGCAAGTCACACCCTCCTGTGAGCCTCACCCCCCCTTCTGCAGGCTCGGGGTAACCATGCCTATCTGGCAGGGCCTGAGAGGAGACAGTGCAGTGACTGGCACACTGGGGCCTCAGGAACCACAATCAGGCCCCTCCCTCTGGCAACGGACTTGGTGATGTCCAGTCGAATTGGCTTGGCCACCTGCCTCCCCTTCAGCCAGCACAGATGCCAATTAAGGGAGGAGCCACTAAGGCAGGAGGATGAGGCTCAGGAACAAGAACTTTTAAACGAGTGCCCCTTAGCCTCTGGCCGGGGCCTGGGGACCCAAGAGTCCCAATGTGGCTCCTCCCTCGAGGAGCTCTGTGGGGGCGTCCATGCGGGTCCCTGGGCCGGGGCAGTTCATGGAGACTACTCGGTGAGGGCAGGCTGGCTAGGGTACTGTCCTAGAGGGCACAGGAGACGGGGACTCATGGGGCCTGTACCTGCTGCTTGGAGCTGAGCTCAGCCGCTTGGCTCTCTTTTCCAACCAGTCTTCCAGATGGCCCTCAGGGAGCTCGACGACATCTAGTGGCCACTCCCTGGCCCGCCTCTCCTCTGTGGAGACAGGGAAACAGAGGCAAGTGAGGGATACATTCACCCCTGCCCGGACCCCACCCTCCCACAAAGCTGCCAGAACCTTCCTGGGCATGAGGGCACAAGCTGGGAGGCCAGGAGCAGAGCCTCTGAGCAGTCCCTACCACACTGCTACCTTCCTAGGCCTGACCCTCTGGGCCTCACTTTGCTTCCTCATTAAGTGGAGATAAAACACTGGCTGCCTCCCAAGCTTTTTGTAGTTGGACACAGGATAAGGCATGTAGAGAGCGTGGTCCTCAGGAGGGGCCCAAACCTGGGGGCAGAGAGGCAATGTGGGCTGCAGAGCAGGGTTTGGATCTTCACTTGGCCACTTGCCAGGTCTCTCTGACCCTGGGCAGGGGAAGGAGCCAGGCCCCGGCAGCAGCTGGGCCGACCTGCTGGGGGTCGGCTTTCCTGGTTTTGTTTTCCTTCCCTTCCCTTCCCTTCTCTCTCCTTCCTTCCCTCCTTCCCTCCTTCCTTCCCTCCTTCCTCCCTCCCTCCCTTCCTCCCTCCCTTCCTCTCTTCCTCCTTCCTTCCTTTTTAAATTTTATTTATTTATTTGCCAGAGAGAGAGAGAGCACAGGCGGGGGAGCGGCAGGCAGAGGGAGAAGCAGGCTCCCTGCTGAGCAGAGAGACCAGCACGGGGCTGAATCCCAGGACCCCGGGATCACAACCCAAGATGAAGGCAGACACCCAATCAACGGAGCCACCCAGGCGCCCCATCCTGGTTTTTCATTTCATAAACTGTCCTGTAAGAACCTTTGCTCACTTAAAAGTGAGCTAACAGTTCAAACAAGCTGGGTGTGAGATGGGTCAGAGTCTCCGGGAGGACTTGGGATAGGGCCTGGAGCTAGAGGAAAACAATCATACTTGGGGACCAACGAGGGGGCCAGGGCTTGGGCTTAGCACTGCATACATTTCATCCCACTTCACCTTTACAAGCAGTAAGGTTCAATGCATCAGGACACTGCCTCCAAGAGGTTTCGCCATGCGCCAAGGTCACAGGGGATGTGGCAGAGCCAGGACTATCAGAGCTGCCACTGGGGCGGGGGGGGGCACATCTCTGCTTCCAGCCCCCTCAGGCTTCTCCCATCCCTGTCTCCACCAGGCACCATCTCCAGCTGCAGGCCCCCTGGCCTAGGCTCTCCCTGCCATGGGCCAACTGTTCCCCGAGAGCCCACAGCCAGTGAAGAGCTGGAGAAGCCACCACTGCCAGAATTCGCTGGCGAGGCCTGTGGGGCCTCACTTCTGCCCTGGGAGAGCTCCTGGAAACCCTCAGTCTGTGCTGGGGCTGCGGCCGCACTGCCATTGGCTCCCCAGAGCAGGGCATGGCCCGAGGTTATGACGGGTCAGAGGTGGGTGAGGCCCACTGGGGGATGAGGGCCAAGGCCACGCTGCCCCGGACACTCACTGGCGGCCCCGAGGCCACCCAGACAGAGTGAAGAGTGGGCAGCAGCCCCCTGGGAGGCCAGAATCGGCCTCTCACCTGCTGGGGGGTTCATGTGAGGCCCTTCCCCCCTAGGCTAGCTGGAGTTTCTCCATCTGTTCCATGAGGGGTTTCATGAGAAGACTGACTAAGACCATCGAAGTGGAAATGTCCTGTTCTCTAACTGGAGAAATGGGAAGTGAACTGCCCACAAGCAGACATGGCAGTTTCCAGGGGAAACTGGTTCTTCCTTGGAGTTACTAGGCCTGAGAGTTCTGAGGGCAGGGCAGGTGCCCGCTTCATCCTGTTGCTCCCAGAATGCAGCAGGGGGTCTGCCTGGTGCTGAGTAAGGGCTCGAGACGGGTGTTGCCTGACGGACGGAAGGAGGAAGGCTATGCCTGAATGAGCACCCAGCAGGGTACAGATGAGGCTTAAGGGCTCCTGGACAGGAAAGCCCCACATGCCACTCTAAACCCCACGGAGAGCACAGATGGGGGCTCCCCTGTTCATGCTCCACTCATGCCTGCAGTGGTTTGGAGGCATTCCTGACACGCCCCCCCCCATCACCTGGGGCAGCCCTCAGCTTATCTCCATAAGGTGGCCACAAAAGCGGAGGAGGGGGACACCTGGGTGGCTCAGTCGGTTAAATGTCTGTCTTTGGCTCAGGTCATGATCCCAGGGTCCTGGGATTGAGCCCCGCATTGGGCCCCTTGTTCAGCTGGGAACCTGCTTCTCCCTTTGCCTGCCGCTCCCCCTGCTCCTGCTTGCCCCCGCCCCCGGCAAATAAATAAAATCTTTGAAAAAAAAAAGAATCTATTAAAAAAAAAAAAGAGGAGGAGGTGGAGAGGCACAGGGCAGCTTTGCAGTCCTCATATCTGGCATCCCCCCAGCAGCCCGCTTCACGCCCCAACCCAGGGTCCCCGCCAAAACACACCCTCCACCTGGATGCTTAGCTCCTGGAGGTCTCTCTCTGACATGTGGGAAAATCTGCAGTTGGAGCCGAAGTCACACTGGCCTGCAACAGAAGGCAGGGAAGACAGAGTTACTCACCACTTGGAAGAGCTCCCACCATGCGCTGAGGGGCGCCCTGATGGGGGTGCAAGGCTTTAGAGTCTACAGAGTAACAACCCCACCCCCAAAGAAAAACTTGGAATCTCTCTGGCCCCACCCACACAAGTAGCCAGAGCAACCTGTCTGGTCCATTCTGCCCCGTTCATGACCCTGGGAAGCAAATCCTGAAGACTTCTGTGATTGGGGTGCACAGGTCTCCTGTAGGCTTGTCTATTGTCACCACTCCCCTGGCCCCAGCCCCTGTTCCCCAGCCTCAACAAACCACAGGGGCGTCCCTGAAAGGGTCATGCTTCCTTTCTCCAATCCAGGCCGTTGCACCTGCTGTGCCCTCTGCCTGGTGCCCACCTGCCCATTTGGCTTGCATGAGCCGCTGGACTGCTCCCCAGAAAGGTTTCAATGGTAGCTTCCTCAAGGAGGCACCAAAGCCTGGGGTAGCTTTCTGAATCTCAACCGGGAAGACCAAACTGTGTCTCAAAATAACGGGAGACTGAAGGTATCCAAAGCCAGCAGAACCTACCAGTGGTGTTTTCACATCCAAGTGAAGTCTGTCGGGGAAGGCCCTGACCTGCAGGCCTGGTGACCATTCTAGGGGCAGCACCGTCTCCTGAGGGGAGTGTGGCCATTCATATGGCTTCCTTAGGCCAACAGCACTACCTCTCCCCAGAGCCAAGCTCTCTTACATACCATGGTAATCACCATGGTTCTCCTCTTTGCCTTGGCCACTAGGAAGCTCAGGGCCAAACTCCTAGAGAGTATATAGGAACTCAAAGCAAGCATGGCGGAAACGAATCATTCTCCTGGCTTTGTCTTATTTTTCCTACCCTTATTTTCATCTGCTCTTAGTTCCTTCACTTACTGAGGTTTTTATCTGTTTGAACCTATATGCACCTTTATTTGGTGGGTATTGAGTAGTCAAATCAACACTTAGCATCCTTGGTTCTAATTCTGAAGTTTCTCGTCAAGCCTGTTACTGTCTCCAGCCCTGCCTGCTGGGATGGGCTCCCAGGCTAACCTAATCACCCAGTCGATCACACCCATCAGTGTCTCCCAGATTTACTTGCAATCTCCTAGTACTTGCTTGTTCTGGGTGGGCCAATAAAATCACATTCTAGGTCGGGAGAGCTGAGGAACCAGGCCCTGGATGTCAGTCCCCGGCACAACCTTTGGGAAGGCCCCAACTGACCACTTGGCTGATGCACCAAGACCACAAAGTGGGCTTCGGATGGTGGCTGGGGTAGGGGAGAGGCTCTGCAGAGGTCTGAGCAGGCCAGATGGGGCATGGTGGTCCCTGGGGGGAACTAAACTGAGTAGAACACATTACCTGTCAGTAGAAACTTCCTGCACGGCCTCTTGTTCTGTTCATCTAGCAAGATGGCAGCTGCATCTGCAAGAAGAGCGAGGGTCCAGGTTCAGACTTTGGCTGCATACAGGCACCTCCTATCCCCGAGATCAGGAAAGGAAAGAGTTCCCATCCAGGAATGTAGGAGGGGATGACCACAGGTGGGGACGCTCGGCAGAAGCATCTGAGCTTCAGGTGACCTCAACCCTTTCCTCCCCACCTGGACCTAGCCAAAGGCAAGAACCAAGTTTTAGGTCTGAGGTTCTTGGCTCTGACCACACAATGGAACCACCTGGGCAGTTTTTGTTTTGTTTTTTTTTAAGTCCTGGTATGGTAGACTTCTCCATACTGTCTTTGCAACTTCTGTGAATCTATAATTACTGCAAAATAGAAAGCTAAAAAAAACCTCCTGGTGCCCAGGAAGCCCACCGTTAAGTCTCAGGGCTCGGGCGTCACTCCACGGCCAAGGCTGCAATGTGTTCTCGCTCCCTCCTTCCCCCTGCCAGCTGCCAGCCTCCGCAGGACTTCCCAGCTATCTTTCCGGACGCAAACCTTAACCCTGGCTTCCTCCGATTTTTCCGACCTTTATTTTCATCATATACTTATGGTTTAAGTTTGCGTGTTTCTTGGTAGGTAAGGAATCAATCAACCAAAATCTATAAGACAGGAAGGTGCCACGACTCAGAGGCCCTGATGTCGCCCTGGGGGCCTGGGCTGGTCACTTTCCCCATTGGTCCACTGCCTTTTCTAGAGGCTGCTGGAGTAGAGGAAAGACCACAGGTTTCAAAGTCCAGGTACACTTGACCCCAGGCAAGCTGCTTCATCTCTCCAAGTCTCTGTTGCCCCATATGTAAAATGGGAGGAAAATTCTCCTCTGATAGGGTTGCTGTGCAAACTGAATAAGGTAATGGATGCAAGGCACTTGGCAGAGGTGCCCAGTGATCCCCAACCTTGAGGGCACATTAGAATTGCCAGGAAAGTGGGGCTGGGAGTGCTTTAGCATCACACTAACGTGAGGCCAGGGCTCCGAACCCCTGTCGTGGATGCTCAACAGTGGCAGTTCTTACTTTGTGTCCTCCTCGCAAGCCCACCACACAGCGCTAACATCCCCATTTTGCAGAGGGGAAAACTGAAGTTCAAACAGGGGAAAGGGCACATAGTCAGGAAGTGGCAGCGCCAGGCTTGAACCCTCGTGTGTGAGTCTAAAGCCCCTGCCCTTCCCCGTGTGGCTGCGGATTTCCTGGTGGCGGGGTGGGTGGCTGGCTTGGTGGCTGGCTCTGATGGGAGCTTCTCCCTTCCTCCCTTCCCCAGGGCCAGGCAGCTGGTGGGAGTGGGCAGCTGCGGGCAGGAAGTGGTTATCAGAGGACTCACTCCAGGGGGTGACCTGGTGGATTGTGGGTGGGGCCGGCAGGGTAGGGGGTGTCCATCCGTCAGCACTGGGCCTGTCAGACTCAGCCTGTCCAGCCAGTTCCACAGACCTTCCCAGGGGAGGTGGGCTGGTGGGGGCATGTGAACATTGCCCAGCCCCATCTCCATGTCCCAGAGGTAGGACCGCTGAGACTGGGTGGGGGTCTGAGCCTGAGTCCTAGCCAAGGCGCCCTGGCTGGGGCACTCAGTGTGGCAGAAAAGTTCCAGGCTGTCCAGCATCTGGCCGGTGGTTCTCAACCCCAGACACATGGCAGAATCGCCAGGCAGCCTTTAAAATACAGGGATCCCCGGTCCCATCCTTCTCAGGTTCTGCTTTAATTCATCTGAGGGGGAGAGCTTGAGAATTGTTAAAATCTCTCCAGTGACTCTGAAGGGCACCCAGGACTGAGAACCCAAGCCCAGGGCCTGCACAAAGAAGGTATGCTCCTCCACCCGGCATTCAAGGCTCCTTGTGATCTGACCCCATTGGTCCTTCTTGCTTCATCTTGGAAAATTAACAGCTGCCCTGGTGCCTGGTGTTTGTTTGCTTGCTCATGTAGATATTCATCTAACAAACATTTACTAAGCACGTCCTGTGTGCCAGGCACCACGCCAGGATGAGGATTTAGTGGAGAATAAGTCAGACCTGCTTCTCCCTTCCAGTCCAACAGTCACACTAAGCCATGTGGACATAAACAGGGGAACAACTAGCATGCAGCCAAATGACCTCGCCCAGGGACTGGGGAGGGCAACCCTGAGGACACTTTGCCTGAGTTGAATTCTGAGATGGAAGAGCTAGGCTGAGGGCATGGAGGACAGCAGGAAAGGCGTGCCCACAGAGGGGACAGTACCTGTAATGGCCAGAGTGGTTGGAGCTTGGAGGGCGAGGTGGGCAGGGCATGGAGACCTGTACAAGACAGGGGTTCTGCCAAGAACACACTGTTATAACTGGGAGTGAGGTTGCCTAGGAGAGGAGCTCTGTTTTATTCATCTGTAAGTCTTCAGAGCCTGCCTGGGAGCCAAGGACATGCTAAGTGCTCACTGAGATAAAAGGCCTGAGGCCAATCCTTTTGTGGACCCATATAGTTCCTACTGAGTGAACCCTTACTGCCACACAGTCGTCGTGAAAATACTGAGGCCCTGTTGCATCCGTGGGAAGTGGATATTGTTGTTATGGCTGTTCTACACAAGGCAGGATTAGGACCACACTGTTCATGAGTGACACCTTGGGACTGACAGCCACTCAGCCTAGCTCCAGACCTCATACTTGTCCCAGTCACGGCAGAAGCATGGTCAGCCCCTCTGGGAGTGAGGGGACTTGTCTGAGGCCATGAAGCTGGGAGCAAAGTGGTTATTGAGTCCTAGCCCAGGCTGGGGTGCCACATGCCTCCCCAAAGTCTATGCTGTGCAGTTTGCTCAGGTAAGCTGGAGCCCCGAGGAAGCCTCTTAAAGTGGAAAGAGCTCATATGCCAGCTGTGGACCCCGGGTGAGTATCATCTACCACTCTGGATTTGGAAGTCACCACCTTTAAGTGGGGATGCCCGCCCAGCCACCCTCCCTTGCAGAGCTGTTCTAAGGACTGAATGTGCCTGGGGATGTGAGGATACTAGGAATGCAGGGTCCCCACTGCATTCCCTTATGTTACCCACTCTTTCATCTTTCTTTAAGTAATACAATAGCCTCTGCCAACCAGCCCTCGACCCAAAGATCCACCTGTTCTCAGCTGAGACTCGGCTGGGAGGAAACACCAAGGTAATCTTGAGGCCTGGCTCCTGCCAGATCACAGTCCCCACTGGATTTGGGAAGCAGGGAGCCTTTGCCTGACACCGGAGTCAGAGGCCTCCCTGGCACCCAGGAGAGCCCTCTGCCGCTGAATACCCCTCGGTCCCCACTCCCAGCCCCTTGCAACCTCAGCCATGCCTGGCCTGCTGCGCAGCCTGCCCACCCTCCCTCTCCCAAGCCTCTGAGCCTCAGCTTCCTCCTCAGAAATGTGTCTGGGAGAGCTCTGAAAATACTGTGTCAAGGCCCTACCCCAAACCTGCCTCTGGGGTGGGGTCGAGTGACCAGCGTTTTTTATTTCAAGGTCTCTAGGTGATCCTAACTTGAAGGGTGGAGCTCTGCCTTAGAGAAGTGCTGATGAAGCAAATGACAAACCACAAAAGGTTCCCGGCATGCAGCAGACACTCCATAAATGCCCACTCTCTTCTTGTGAATTCTGACTCTCAGACCAGGGAACTCTGTCTCCCCTTCTCCTCCCTTCTTGGCTGCTGAGACTCAGCTCCTTCCTTTTGCTCTGGGAATCCTGCTCCCCAACTCATGAAGCATTGGCCCTGCCCCAGCTGGTGGGGGAAGCTGGAAGTTTCGGTCCCACCCCACCCCACCACCAAGCTCCCTCTCCGTTTCATCGGCTCCTGGATGGCCACCCCAACATCTCCCTCGCTGTTCTTCAGTGTCCATGTCTGATGGACAGCAGAAGCAGCTCCCCTGTAGTGAGCACCTCGAAGGTGCCAGGCTCGGTGCTATGTGCTTATGGCCGGAGCTCATTTGCTTCAGAGGCACCTGCTCGGAGAAGCCTTTCCCTGGAAAAGCCCTCTCTCTGGGAGCTTGATCATTCATCCCGCCAGCCAGTCATTCAACAGCCATTTACTGCACCCCACACTCACGCAGCAGGCAAGCATCACTGTCAAATGTAGCTCTTGGCCACTGCCTTCAAAGGCTGCCCTCGGCCCTCACCCTGGGGCAAACTACCCTCTTTACTGTGGCCTCCACAGACTTACACAATCTGGCCCCAGCCCTGCCACTGCCTTCAGCCCTTACCAACCTCCTCTCCTACTGGGTCCAGCCACACCTTCTCTCCTCTGCTCGGACGGCACCTGATGCTTTATTCATGGCCGCCTGCTTCTGCATACCCTCTGCCCCAAATGCTGCGGCTGGCTTCTCCCTATCTTTCCCACTGTTGGCTCAAACATCATCTCCTTGGAAAAGCCTTCTTCCTGGCCACAGTATCCCCAGAGGCTGGCAAAATGGAGCCCTCCTCTCAGTCAAGGTTACTGGGGGATGGAGCTCACATTCCAGCCTGCCCCTTGGACGGCCCATCTGCCCTTAGGGATGCCCCGGCGGCCCCAGCCTTCCTCTCTTTGGTTCCTCCAAGAGCCCAGACCAAGCCTGTTGCTGGCCCATGGGCACTTCCTTGTCTGCCAATAAGAAAGATCGGCAAGCTGCCCTCCAGTGGTCCAGCTGCCTAGCCAGCCAGCACGCACCTCGAAACATGTCATACCAGACCTTCTTGGCCTTGAGGTGCTGCAGCCCATTCAAGTGCTTCTTGCGGTTGTGGAGGTTGTCCTGGAAGGAGCGGTTGCAGTAGTCACAGAAGTAGTGCTTCCCCATGGCCGTCTAGCTGGGTTGCTGCTGCTGCCTGGGAAGCCCAAAGCACTCAGTCAAGAGTAGGGAGGACTCACCACCCGCTGAAGCCCGCAGTGATGGGGGAACAGGAGGCAAGCTGAGGACAAAGCACAAGCGACACCCCGCACCCGCTGGGTGGGACCTGTGTGACATTCCTTGGGTACTCCCGGCTGCCCTAAAACTAAGGGAAGGGAGAAACAAATGGTTAACTGACAGAGATCACAGTCCTGGGGGACAGGAGTCTCCCTCAGTGTACAAATATCTTAGTGATTTACAAGGAAAAGGCATTCTTACCAGTAGCCTAAATTTCAGAGACCCATAGACTCAATTTCCTGGAGTCTGAACATCATCCTCCACTCCATAGTGATGTGGGAAACAAAGGCAGAAGGGAATGTAAATAAAATTAAACTTCTTTATAACCTGCAGCCCATTGACAAATACTTGGGATATGCAGAGTATAACATTCCTTCTGGAAACTCCCAACTATCTTAACGTTAATGCCTTACTAGAGGGAAAAACAACCTTAGTTGGACAATAGCCAGGCCTCCAGTATCTTCTTTAGCATATGAAAGTCCTTTAGGACACCCCTTTTTCCTACGTCCCCCACCTCCCAAGTATATAATCAGCCCTTCCTCACAACCCCGGTGTAGCAGCTCTTTCTGCCCACGGGGCCTGTCGCCATGCTTTAATAAGATCACCTCTTTTGCACCAAAGACATCTCAAGAATTCTTTCTTGTCCTTCAGCTCCGGACCTCACCTACATTCTGAAACGACATCAGGCAGCACAGCACCCCAAATGAACGCTCCCTGAAGGCCAGTGTAAGGAAGGCTCTGGTTACACACGCCTCATTTAAACCCCAGAACAGCCCGGAGGACCTACGTGGGCCAATGAATATGGCCTGAGAGGTCTCATTCCAGGGGGATCTTTTAACAATCCTGATGCCCAGCCTCCACCCCAGGGCCAGTGGACCACAGAACTTCCAAGGGTGAGACCCAGGCACCAGCATTTTTGTAAAGCTCCCCAGGAAATTCTCCTATGCAGCCAGGGTGGAGAGCTACCCCCTTACACCCTCTGGCCACGTCCCCACTCCCCCCAGCCCCACGCCACCTCTGACCCCCTCTCTCCCATCTGGCCATATCAGCCCCATCTTTGCTCCTCACACCTGCCAGGCACCCGCCAGGCACCCGGCCACCTCTTGCATTTGCACCTGCTGGCCCCTCTGCCTGGATGCTGTTCCTTGCCACCCCTGCTCACTTGATTCCTTCATCTTCACTCAAATACTATCTTCTCAGTAATCTCCTGTGACAGCTTTATTTAAAATTGCAGAACACTCTACTTAGCTTTCCCCATTCCCTGCTTCATTTTTATCACCTTTGAAATAATAAGTTACTTGTTACGTTTATTACCTTTTTCTCCCAACAGGAATATAAATCCATGCAGGCAGGGATATTTTTGTTTTGTTGACTGCTGAAGCCCCACTACCCAAAGTGGCACATGGTACAGAGTAGGCAACGAATATTTGTTGAGGAAATGGATTAATTCCCATTTTCCTTATGGGACAACTGAGGTTCAGAGAAAGGAAGTGATTTGCCCAAGGTCACACAGCTGGAGAGCAGAACACAAAACCCAGATGCCCTAAAAATCCCACTGCTGGGTGTCCTCTCTTCCAGAGCCAGCTCAAAGCTTACAGAAGCCAGAGGGCTCAGGCAGAAATGCAAACAGTTTCGCCAGGAGATTAGCTAAACTCTTAGATGGCAGGTCCCAACAATCAGAGAGGGAAATGAGAATGTTTCAGGGTCTTAAGACCCTTAAGACCCCTCAGCCATGGTGACCCACAGCTGCCACACCTGACCCAGGAGATCTCCAGCCACAGGTAGGGGTAATTCTGAGTGTCAGGGCCAGCCCTTGGGTCCCCCAGTTTGCTGACACAAGACCAGAGGATGAATGGGTCCACTCTGGGTTGTCAAGTGGGATCTGCAAAGGCTGAGCCCAGACTAGCCCCTCACCCTTCAGGTCCTATAGTCTGATCCCTCATTTCCCACTGCAGGTTCCTGGGGCCCAGAAGAGGAAGGAAAGTGACTTCCGTAACAACCCAGGCTAGCAGCAAAAGCATGACTCCCAGGACTTGGCAAATTAAAGATACGGCCGGGACCTGACCACGGGGCAGACGCATGGGGTACTGCATCTTGGGAAGAAGAGAAGGGGGAGAGAGACAGAGAAAAACAAGCCCCCTGGACAGTCCAGGCAGCCAGGTGGGTCGATAGAGAAGGCTGTTCCCGTGGCGGACAGAGACAACGGCCACTAAGTCAAGGGCAGTAATGGGATCAGGAACAGACAGTCATTCAAAATGAAAACGTATAAAACCTCTCTTCTCCTATTACTGCTGAGAAACCACATCCCAGACACATGGACTTGATATATTAAATTTGGCAGCTCTAATACACCCCGTCTTGCCAATAAACTTATAGGAATTGGATTGAAATTGTACGAGATGAACGTTTAACGGCCGAGTGCTTAACCAAGCCATTCACAAAGCCTCAAGCTCTGAAGAGCTGCTGGCTCTGGAGCGTCGTGGGGAGGGGAGGGTGTCAGAGGAGGGAGGCAGAGATGGAGCGGTGGCTCTGCGGCAGGCTTAGCTGGATAACACCACACAGGGCACTGGGCAGCCGGCCGTGTGACCTTGGACCTCTCTAGGCCTCTCCTTTCAGGAAGGTGAGACAGTGGGTCTGACAGGTTAGCTGACTGCCTGCGGAGCAGTCAACAGAAGTTTGCTAATCCAAATGAATTGCTAATGAAAGAGTAATGGAAATACAAATGACACTAATAATGTCCAGCATTTAGCAAGTGCTCAATAAATGTTACCTACTGTTTGATTTACTGAGCACCTACTGTGTGCTGGCACTAGGCTAAAAGCTTTAAAATGCATCATCTCATTTAATCCTCAGGACAACCTGTGAGGTAGGACCTACTCCACTTTTTCAGATGAGGGCACTGAGGCTCCAAGAAGCAAAGTGCCTTAACCAAGGTCATGGTGCTGGAAAGCAGCCAAGCTGGGTTCAGAATCCAGGCAGGGTGGCTCTAGAGCCCACACTCCTAATCACTTAGAAAAGTCTCCTCCCAACAAATCATACTGCTGACAGCTCTCCTTCTTAATCACTCACTACACCCTGGGGACCACGTGGCCCATTCAAAACCCAAGAGGTATGTATTATAATCCCATTTGCGAAGGAGAAGACTGAGGCTCACAGAGGTGCTGTGGGGTGCCCCGGGTCACACTCCCAGGAAAGGCAGAGCAGGTCTCACGGTGCCTGCACTTGCATCTGCTGGGAAAGCCTCCATGAAGTCAAATGATGAGCCCCTGGGCAGTGGACCCCCTGTGTGTATGTGTTTCCTCTTCTCTCTCACATGCACAAACCGCAGAGGACAAACCAGCCTCAGCGGAGAGGCGCCCACCCACGCCTTCCTTCCTCTGCCCACCCTGCATCTGGCACGGGGGCGGAGCTCAGCTGTCCGGGGAGGGCCAATGCACCCCACACTCTAGTCCCAGCTCTGTTAGGTGAGGCTGTGGCTCCGTCACTTGCCCACTCGAGGCCTCAGTCTCCCCATGTGTGAAGGGGGAGGCAGGCAGCTAGACCAGGTGATCTCTAAGGGCCTCTGCAGACAGCCAGGTTTAAATCCAGGTGCCACTGCTTTCTTTTTTTTTTTAAAGATTTTATTTATTTGAGAGAGAGAGAATGAGAGATAGCACGAGAGGGAAGAGGGTCAGAGGGGGAAGCAGACTCCCTGCTGAGCCGGGAGCCCGATGTGGGACTCGATCCCGGGACTCCAGGATCATGACCTGAGCCGAAGGCAGTCGCTTAACCAACTGAGCCACCCAGGTGCCCCCAGGTGCCACTGCTTTCTAATTCTGTGATGGTGGGCAATTATTAACTTCTGGCCTCAGTTTCCCCCTATGAAAACTGGGATAGTAACAGTGCCCACCTCAGGGATTGTTCTGAGAATCAGATCATCCACACACACACTTAACTTAGCAGAGCCTGGCCCCCAGGAGCCCCTCAAGAAACAACAGCCAGCATCACCATCATTATTATTGGTCTCCAAAAGGCCCATATTTCAGAAAACTGAGGCTCAGAACAAGGAACAGGATATCAGTGTCCAAGTGACAACTGGGGGCAGCTGGTCCATATGACAGATGAGGAAAGGTGAGGCCAGGAGAGGGGAAGTGGGTTGACCAAAATACACAGCACAAAGCAGAGGTGGGACTGGAACTTTAGCCTTCACAGTGGGCCCAGATGCCTGCCCTGAACAGCAGCTCTGCAGAGCCCATATGGCCCGGGGATGGTGTCAAGGGGAGCAGACGAGCTCCAGGGCAGCCTGGGCGTCCCACCGCCCAGCAGGCCTGTCCCCAGGGAGGCAGAGGTACTGGGCAGGAGCTGGGCTTCAGCAAGGTGACCTCACCCAGGCAGCTGTGAACTTCTAACGCTCCTGACCCAACTGCCTCCCGCTCTAGTGCCTTAGCACACATTAGGAAAAGGTGTGGGTGCAGAATCCTCCAGACAGATACAGTGCCCTGCCAGAGCATGTTTGGCAATCTGGCAAGCAGAGCGTATTTCACTCCGACTCAACCCTCAGTCAGGTGTCCTTGCACAAGGCACAGCCTGCACCACCGCACCTGGCAGCCCTGAGTGGGAGGTCAGGGAAGGGGGGTGGAGACAGCTGGACATCTCCGATGGCGCCCAGACACCAGCATGGGGTGCTGACTAAGCTGGCCCGTGATTCATCCGCATCCTCTGAGGCTGGTGCGCTCAGCAGCATGCGAACAAGGCCCCATGTGCAATACAAAACCATCCAGCCCCACTCCCTTGCTGGGAACGAAGACAGCGCCACCCGCCCACTCTCAGGGACCAGGTCCATGTTTGCAACAGCAGCTGCTGGCTCCCTGGGGCTTCACCAGGTGACAAGGGGGCTCCTCGTGGCCAAAGGGCAGCAGGGGAGGCTAGTGGGACAACCCT